AAAATTTTATACTCATTACCTTTTTTCTTTTTTAACAACTTTATTGAGATATATTTTACATACAATAAAATTAACCTGTCTCAAGCATACAATTCAAGATTTTTAGTAACTTTCTTGAGTGATACAACTATCACCATAAATCGGTTTTAGAACGTTTTCACACACACTCGCATAAGGTCCCTCATGGCTGTTTACGTTCCCACCCCCGGCCCAGGCAGCAACTAATCTACATTTTGTATAAATAGAATCGTACAATCTGTGGTCTGTTGTGGCTGCGTGCTTTCACTTAGCTTAATGTTTCTGAGGTTCATCCATGGCGTAGCATGTGTCCGCAGTTCCTTCTTTTTTGTTGCTGAATAGCTTTCCATTGTATGGATATAGCTACTCATTAGCTTCTAAAATTTTTTTAAAGAACATTCAACTACTTAATAAATTCAACAGATAAACACGGTTCTATTCATTTAGCAAACATATGTTGAAAATTAAATGTGGCCTAAGTGATTAAAAAATATAAAGGTAACCATATTCAGCCCTCAAGGAAACAGACATGCGATCATACAATTCAGGGAGAATTAAGTCCTGTGTTGAAATATAAATAAGGTGATGTTAGTCTAAAAGCAAAAGTATTTGTGGGAGTATTTGAGAATGCTTCTCAAAGAAGTGATATTTAAACTGGATATGTTCAGTTTACTGGGCAGGGAATGGGAGGAGATGATATTCCCTTTGAAACGAATAATATTTTTAAATTCACACAAGTGAGAAAATATGTGTTTTATTCAAGAAACAGCAAATTGTCCTGTGTTACTGAAATGCGGGCCTCAATGGGGATGTTTTGGATAGGAGACGGAGCCAGCAGTATTGCTTGGTACCAAAAAGGAGAGCTTTGAGTGCTATGCTATAGAGTTTCTCTTGATTGTGTGGGTGGTAGGAAGGCATTCAAGGAGAATTATTTCAATTCTTTATTGTGTCCAATTTAGGAAAGATAGAGGAAGGTGGAAAATAGTAGGGAAAGAGAAAGATACCAAAAGAAAGATAGAGATTCAGCAAATATTTACTGCACATCTAATGCACTATATGGGGTGCTAATGTTTCAGAAGAGCACAAAACAGGCAAAGTTCTTGCTTTCATGGAGCCGACATTCTAGTGAACGGGAGAGGCAATAAACCATTAAACAAATAACTGTATCAAGTGTACAGTAATATCAAGGGAAAAGTGTTTAACGCAGGGTACAGAGACAGGAAATGATGGGGGAGGGATGTGGAATTGAAATATGATTACAGACCCAAAAGCAATGAGAAATGGAGCCGAGCCAGCATCTGGGGAGAGTGTGTGACAGAGACTAGCAAGTGCAGAGGCCTCAAGGAGGAGCATGCCTGGAGGGAGCATTTGAGAAAAAGCACGAAGGCCAATGTGGTCTGTCTGGTTTATGTTTTAAAAGGATCACCCTGGCAGCTGGGTGATCAGCAACAATAGACTGTTAACTGTCTATGTATTTCATTTCACATGTGTGTGGGCTTATATGTAGGATTAATTCCTAGAAGTAGGATTGCTGGGTCACAGGGCAAATACATTTGTAATTTTGATAGCTATTGTGAAATTTCTATCCAGTCTTCACTTCCACGAGCCGTGTTTGAGAGGACTATTCCTTCACAGCCTCACCAACACTAAGAGTGAAGCTTTGGGGAGGTGTAAGTTTCTTTGCGTTGTTCAAAAACTCCCAAATCAAGATGTTCACAGGATTGCATTCCTTCTGAGTGCTCTAGGGGAGAATCTGTTTCTTTGCCTTATCTAGTTTCTGCCTTCATTCCTTGGCTTGTGGCCCCATCTTTCATCTTCAAATCCAGTAGCATAGCATCTTCTCATCTCCCTCTCTCCTGTCATCACAGACTCTGCTGCCTCCCTTTTATGAGGATCCGTTTGATTACATTAGGCCCACCCAATTTATCTGGGCTAATCGCCCCATCTCAAGATCCTGAATTTAGTCATAACTTCAAAGTCCCTTTTGCTGTGTAAGGTAATATTCACCAGTTCCAGGATTTAGGATATGGACGTCTTTTCGAGGGGCCATTATTGGCCTACCACAGGGAGATTTGCCATTTGTCTGTGATAGGAAATGGAAATACTTTTCCTTATGTCTTTTGTCTTCCCACATTGCCTATAGTTTTGTGGTTGTTTTGCTTTTATTTCTGCTATTTGGAGTTTAACTGGTAAATAGTGTGAAAGGCAGATCAGTCTTTATTTTTTTCCAGATAGCTATTCAGTCGTACCAGCACCATTTGCTGAAAAGTCCAACTTTTCCCTAAAATATAGTAAATTCCTGTATATAGTTTGATTGATTTCTGGACTTTCTTTTTTGTTCCATTGTTTGTCTAAAAAGTACACAATTTTTTTAAATTACTGAGGCTTTATAGTATACTATACTATCTGGTAGGGCAAGACGTCATTTGCTCTCCCATACACACACACATGCCCCCACACTACTCTTCTTTTTTGTGGTTTTCCTGCCTATTCTTGTTTGGTTTTTCCTGTGTGAGCTTTAGAATCAGCTTGCCTGGTCTAGGGGGGGTGGGGGGATGAGGAGAGTGGGGGAGGGAAGGTGTTAGTTTTATTGGAGTAATTTTATGAGGCTGGATCTTACTATCTTTAAACATGATATGTCTTTATATTCATTCAAGTTACTTTTGTTCCTTCAGTAGTATTCTAACATTTTCTTCATATCAATTTTGTGTATATCTAAGTTTATTCCCAGATTTTTAATCTTTCTTTTCATAGATATAATGGAAAAAAAGACCCTATTTATAATACTTTCTCTTTAGTTTTTATGCATGAAAGCTATGGTTAATACATTTATTATATTAATTATAAATTATATTAATTTTATATGTTGCTACCTTACTGAATTATCTTCTTGTTTGTAGTAGTATTTTAGTTGTTTCTTGGTTTTTCCCAATATACAGTTATATTGTCTTCAAATAGTGATAGTTAAACTCTTCGTTTCTAATTTTTATATATTTGTCCTTTTCTTGCCTCTTCTATTAAATAGCAGTGGTGTTGTATGCATCTCTATCTTATTCCTGATTTTAGGAAGAAAGGCTCATGTGTTTCCCCATAAAATATTTGCTGACTTTTGGGTATGCACACGTGCACATACACACACACACACACACACATACATACATGCACACACAAACACGTGCCCCTGTCATATTAAAGAAATACACATCTGTTCCTGTTTTATTCAGCACTTTTTTTCCCATCCAGAATAGGAGTTGAATTTTGTCAAATGCCTCTTTCGTATATATGAAGAGATAATATGGCTTTTATCTTAGGTTTATTAATATGATATATTAACTTTGCACATTTTAAATACATCTCAGATTTCTGAAATTAAATGTTTTTATTTTATACCTAATGTTTTGTGAAGCAGGTCTCAAGTTTGTGAACTGCTTCTCCCCTGTGTAGCTTTTTTGATTATTACACAATGCTATGTTGCATATTTGCAACTGTCATAAGTAGAACTCTTTTTGTTTACAGGCTTAATAAAATTAAGCTGAGAATTTGATCTGACCAGTGGACTGAAGATTGCATTCAGCATGGTGAAAGAAGTGGGGCTAAATCTGAGCTGACCTTTTAATGATCCCTGTTTAAGTTTTCTTATTATTTTTTATTTTGTCCTCAAATAATGGTGGAAGGAGAGGATTGTGGTATGGGCGGCAGGAAGTAAAGTGTTTGGATTAATTAATCCTTCTGGATAGGTTCTAATTAGTATGAGGTTTCAAAGAAACACTGTAAAATGAACATTGTTTTATATATTTGCTTCATCATTTTTGTCCTCAGAGAGCTCACTGCCTAGAGCAGAACTGTCCAATAGGATAGCCACTAGCTCCTTGTACCTATTGAATACTTGAAAGGTGGTTAGTGATGTCCTGTAATTGTAAAATCCACACTGATTTTGAAAAATTAGTATAAAAATATATAAAATATCTCAATAATTTTATGTTGATTATATGTTGAAATAATATTTTGGGTATTGTGGCATAGGTAAAACATGTCATTAGGATTAATTTCACCTTTTTTTCACTTTTTTAATGTAGCTACTAGCAAATTTTAAATTGCATATGTAGCTTACATTATGTTTTTATTGGACGTCACTGGTGTAGAGGCAGTAGGCGTGTGTATACTTACTTACAGATACTACAATTATTTTCATAATTTAAAAAGATGAAATTAGGGCCGGCCCCGTGGCTTAGCGGTTAAGTGCGCACGCTCCGCTGCTGGCAGCCCGGTTTGGATCCTGGGCGCGCACTGTCGCACCTGCTTCTCCGCATGCTGAGGCCGCGTCCCACGTACAGCAACTAGAAGGATGTGCAGCTGTGACATATGACTATCTACTGGGGCTTTGGGGGGAAAAAATAAATAAATAAAAATTAAAAAAAAAGATGAAATTAAATAAACTACAGTTATATCCTCCGTTATCACTTTGTTTCTTCTTATGGGAATGAACTTTGATGAATAATGTAATATAATCGTACTCCATTCTAATGGGTTACCTCCTCTCTAATTTTTCCATTTAACTGTTTATAAGAGAATGCTGTTCTTTCATTATGCCCTTGACATTTTCACATAAGTTAAAGGCAATAGGATTCTTGTATTTTAGAATACTAGCACTTAACTGATGTGAATATAGAAGGGGGTTAGTTTGGAGGTCCAAGTTTCTAATTTTGCCATATCCTAAAAATATATTTTAATAGAAGTTCCCTAGCTCAAAATAAAATTTGCTTCAGTGTTTCTTTCATTTTTCTTCCCCATTACCCCCAAAAAAGCAGTTCCCACCTCCTTAGTTCTCTTTAGGTAGAGGTGAGGTTCAGCATCTTGTAGTTCTGTCTTATTGCAATAGCCTGAGTGTTTTGAATAGTTCATTTCTTAACTCTTATTTTTGAAGAACTGAAACAGATTACTCCTAAAGCTTTTTTTATCTTGGCTTTTGTTGCATTTTTTAGGAAAATTATATCACAGATGATATTGGAATATCGACTTGGAAGGAGCAGACTTTTCTCTCTCATGGTGCCTTATTAGCAAAGAGCTGCCAAGCTGCAATGGAATTAGCAAACCATGATGCTGAGGTTCAGGATATGGCATTTCAGTATGGGAAGCACATGGCCATGAGTCATAAGGTATTTGCACACCCTTTCTCTTTTTCCAGTACTTAAATAACAAAAATGATAGACAAGAAACCTTTTGCCATTTAATAAGCTGCTTTTATATCTCAAAAAATGTTAAAATCCATCAATCGTAGATGGTGATTGGTCTATAATATAAACAGTATGATTGGTGAATACTGTGTAATTTTGATAGTAAGCTATAGCTTACTTAAACCATATTTGTGATGTTTGTCTTTTCTTACCACCTGAAAGAGTTCTTGAAAGAATTCTTGCAAATTATTAAATAACATGTAATGTTGCCATTCACAGAATGGAAGAGTATTTGCATTTTTGTTACAGTTCCCTTATAGTTCCTTATGTAAAATGAATTGTGGAAAGTTAATGAAATTTAGAAATGTACTGAGAGAAATTGAAAACTTTAATTCTAATAACTGATTCTTTTGAATGGGCATAATGAAATATAAAATGTCCCAAGATTAGCTGTTATATGGTTCCCTCTATGTATATGTAATTTTAAAATTCCATTTAATATATATTTCTTAGATGTTACTTAAATAGCTTAGAAGAAGGGGGAAATATATACATATATAGATAATATCTCCAGATGAGTTTTTACATATTTTATTAAATTTTAGATTACTTTATTAACCAATTATATTTATTAAATATTTTTCTAAATCTTTACCTTGAACTTAAAAAGTAAAATAAAGGCTGCTGTCAAATAAAAAAGAAATGTGTTAGGGGAGAATTATTTTAAAGAATTTTGGGGGCCAGCCCCGTGCCTTAGTGGTTAAGTGCGTGCACTCTGCTACTGGTGGCCTGGGTTCGGATCCTGGGCACACACCGTCGTGCTGCTTGTCCGGCCATTTTGAGGCGGCGTCCCACATACAGCAACTAGAAGGATGTGCAGCTGTGACATACAACTATCTACTGGGGCTTTGGGGAGAAAAAGGGAAAAAAAAAGGAGGAGGATTGGCAACAGATGTTAGCTCAGGGCCGGTCTTCCTCAGCAAAAAGAGGAGGATTGGCATGGATGTTAGCTCAAGGCTGATCTTCCTCACAAAAAAAAAAAAATAATAAAGATTTTGAAGATTATTGTTCATATGAACTGTTCTTTTGCTTATTAAAGTACATCTAAAAACTGCATTCCTTAAGCTTCATTTTCCACTGTATTAACTAGTGCTTTCTGTATATGATGATAACATACTAGTGTATATGCATTTCACTGATTTAACTGTTTTGACTACTCCTTCTAGATAAATTCTGATATCCAGCCTTTTATTAAAGAAAAGACCAGTGACTCCACGACTTTTAATCTAAACTCAGCTCCTGTAGTCTTACATCGGGAGTTTCTTGGAAGAGATTTGTGGATTAAGCAGATTGGAGAGGTAAAATGAAATTACTCCTATTTTAGGTACCAGTAGTATTTAGTTGATTTTAGAACATAATTCATATTTTATGATGATCTAAGACATCAGCCATATAGATCATATAGATCAGCCATAGAAGAGCTATTCGTATAACAGGTAAAACTCTTACTTTGTAATCTACATTTTTAAGAGGTAAAATGTTAGTTAAAAGTTAGAAACTGCAATACTGTGTTTTCTTATTATCTGAGTTCTTAGAATACTGCAACACAAAACTAGTGCCTGTGGTGAATGCTAATTAACTCAGATTTTTTTTTCTAAAGGCTTTCAAAAATTGGGCTATGGTAATAGCACCACCCTTTAACTGACGGCAATTTCCCATCTGTAGACTCTAGCACAAGCTGCAGAATTCCAGGAGCTCCGTCTGTCAGCTCATTGGGTTATTTTAAAACAAACTTGGACCCTGAACATTCAAGTTCTGAGGCGTTATCAAAGGAAAGAAAGCATGGGTAACTGGGAAGGGTAAAGGGGCTTGACTTGGGTAAATTTCCCACTTTTTTGTGGGTAGAGGAGGTGTGAAAGATGAAAGGGAACTTTTTTGGTTTTATTTTAATAAAATAAAACTCGGGCACAAAAAGTCTGCCCTTTTATCCAGAGCTTCATGGAATTTATTTAACTTCATGGTTCTAATTGATTGGGTTAATCTGAGACTCGGGACATGGGGAACCAGGCACAGCTGAGGGTGGGTAGCCGCCGCCGTACCTAAAGCAAAGAGAGCCCAAGTGATGTCTGCATTCAGAAAGATAAGATTCTCCCTCTCCTACCCTGCCTCCCTTATTGGCTCTCAAAATGCTGGCAACCAGCTTAAAATCCCTTATATTCACCAGGTAGAAAACGAGAGGATTCCTTTCTGGGAACTGTCAAACCCAGGAGAAGACCTGCAGATGTGGCAGTTTGGGGCTCCCTCAGTAAATGTGCCACGTCCCTGACCAGCCCTCCTGCAGTGAGGCCCACATGCTGACAAGCCTCAGAGGATCCAAGTGCACAGAATATCCACTGGAAGGAGTATAGGTAATAGAGGAGCACTGGGCATTTGAGAAAAGCCTCTGCCGTGAAAGAATGAGTCAAAAGCAAACTGACGCAGAGAGGGAACTCAGAGACGTGCAAGACAAGAAAGACATTTTCAAAAGCACTGTAATCAATATACTCAGTGAGATAAGATATTAAAGCCATGAAATAAGAACAGGTGGTATATAAAAAAAGGATAAAGAATAAGAAAGCAGAGTTATAAAATTTTAAAATATGAAAAAATAATTTTTTTTAAAAATCAGAAGAATAGAAGATATAAATGAGAAAATCTCCCCAAAAGTTGAAGAAAAAGACCATAGTAAATAGAAAAGATGAAAAAATTAGAGAACCAATTCAGGAGATCCTATATCTATTATAAGTCCCAGAAAGAGAAAACTGAAAATGGAGGTGAGAAAATTAACAAAGAATTTTTTACAAAGAAAAGAAAAATTCCAGTATTGAAGGACCTGAGTCTCCAAATTGAAATTGTGCCCTAAATAATGAATTTAAAAAGACCCACACCGGGCCCACCTGGTGGTGCAAGCGGTTAAGTGCGCGTGCTCTGCTGCAGCGGCCTGGGGTTCGCCGGTTTGGATCCCGGGCACACACCAATGCACTGCTTGTCAGGCCATGCTGTGGCGGCATCCCATATAAAGTGGAGGAAGATGGGCATAGATGTTAGTCCAGAGCCAGTCTTCCTCAGCAAAAAGAAGAGGATTGGCAGATGTTAGCTCAGGGCTGATCTTCCTCACACACACACAAAAAAAGACCCACACCAAGTCACATCACTATCAAATTTCAAAACAATGGGGATAAAGAAGAGATCCTAATACTTCCAAAAAGAAAAAGAAAAACCTACATACAAAGGATCAAAAATCCGTAATGGCCTTAGTAGTGACACTGAAATCTTCAAGACAATCGAGTAATACCTTCAGCATTCAAAGAGAAGATTGTCTCCAATTTAGAATTTTATGCCAGTCATATTATCAAGTGCGATATTAACTAAAGACAATTTAAAACAGAGAAACAAGGTCTCAGAAAACTTACCTCCCTAGAATCATTTTTCAGGGAGCAGGTGATGTATTCTCTCGGGACAAGGGAATAACCAAGAAAGAGAAAGACATGGAATTTTAGAAACTAGGGGATCAGATATAGGCGTGAGGCAATGGGAATTCCCAGGACAATATGAAGGGAAGAATAATAAACAAAGACAACACTGCCAACAATAAGAGCACTTACTATGTTCTGATGAGAAACCTGAGGCACAGAGAGATTAACTAACTTGTGCACAGTAGCACAGCTAGCAAGTGGTGGAGCCGGGATTCAAACGCAGGCAGCCTGGCTACAGGACCCACATCCTTAAGTAACATGCTACACTGTCTCTCATTCAAGCAAGTCCTAGGCTAATGGCTAGGCATCCAGTCCAGACTGGGACAAGAGGACAAACATCTCTAGGAGAAGTATCTCCAAGGGAAAAAATGGAACTGATGATCACCTAATGTACGTGACCGTAATGAGAATTTAGGGACAAATTAATGATAGGTACATAGAAAACTAAGTGTTCCAGTTACTATTACTGCATAACAAATTACCCCAAGACTTAGCTGCTTAAAATAACCATTTTATTATGTTCATGGAATCTGTGGGTCAGGAATTTGGACAGCATGTAGGGCATGTCTGCTCCATGATGTCTGGGGCCTCAGCTGGAAAAACCTAGAGGCTGGAGGTGACTCAGTGATGCTGGAGACTGGTTTCCTCTGGAGGCTCCACTAACACCCGGCACCTGGGCTGAGCTATAGGGAAAAGCAGGCTGCTGACTAACCAGAGTGCTCACAGAATGGACCCTCCGTTTAGTTTGGCTTCCTCACAGCATGGCAGCCTCAGAGTAGTCGGACTTCTTACTTGCTGGCTCGGAACTCCAAACACAAGTGTTCCAGCAAACAAGGCAGAGGCTGCATCATTTTTTATAAACCAGCCTCCAAAGTCACACAGTCATTTCCAAGGTCTCCTATCAAAATAGTCACAAGCCCACCCAGAATCAAGGGGAAGGGCTGTAGACCTCACCTACCAATGGAAAGAGTTTCAAAGAATTTGGGGCCCACATTTTAAACAGCCACACTAAACATATGGAATAAAATGAGGCAGTGATTAGCTGTAGTGAAAAAATTTTAAATGTATAAGAAAGCAAATGTAATCATAATGCTCTACATGGCTTAGAGAATGGTATTTATATAGCATAAAAATGTAAATACCAAATATTGATTTAAACCAAAAAGTGTAATCAATGCGAGGAGAGTAGAGAAAATGATATTTGGTTATGTAAGAAATGTAATTATTCCTTTCATGGTAGGGTTAATAGGTAATGTATAAAATTTAAAAATCAAGGAACAACAATAGTTGAAGATAAACAGCAGAAGAAACAGCTAAAGAGAGGGACACAGGACAGACAGGGTCTGGAGAGTGCTAGGTTGTTTTGTTAGAAGTCTTGTATTATTCAACTTTTTTTTGTTTTGTTTTTGGTGAGGAAGATTAGCCTTGAGCTAACATCTGTTGCCAGTCTTCCTCTTTTTTCTGAGGAAGATTGGCCCTGAGTGAACATCTGTGCCCATCTTCCTCTATTTTATATGTGGGACACCTGCCACAGCATGGCTTGATGAGCAGTGTGTAGGTCCGTGCCCAGGATCCAAACCTGCAAACCCTGGGCCACCAAAGCGGAGCACACGAACTTAACCACTACACCACTGGGCCAGGCCCATTAAATACTATAAATATATTTGTTTTTATTTTTAAACTTTTAGTTTAAAAATTTATGTACTTTGCTATAGTAATTCCACTTCTAATAATCTAGCCCAAGAAGAATATCAGAGATGTGGGCAAAGACTTACATGTGAAAATATGTAGTAAAATACTAATTCTAAAAGAAAAAAAGTGAAAATTGATCCATTTAAAAACAGAAAAGGGTTAAATGAAGTATAGTACCATGAAATATCACACAGCTATATATTGTATTGGTATATATTGTATTACTTTATATTGTATTGTATATATTGTACTATATATATTGTATACTATATATTGTATTACTAGGGTGTATTTGTGTGTTTTCCGACAGCTGAACCGAAAATACATATACAGATGGTGTTAGTAGCTCTAATTGGGTTACATTAGAATACATTGCAGATTTACATTTCAGTTGAAAAGATCTAGCTACATATGTTAAATGAAAGCTACCAACTCTCCCTTGGCTATTCACATATATACATATACATATAAGAGTAGCATAGATATGAATTTTAAAGAAGCTTCAGAGGAAAGGGACATGTTTAACTCTTAGTTTCTTTGCAAGCATACGAAGTTGTAAATGTAGACAACATGAGAGTCCAGGATTTCCTAAACAGCTGGTTAAATATTCCCAAATCATTATCCTCAACTTGATTTTAGATTCAAAGGGATAGCCTTTCCTTAGCCTATGCCTTAGGCAAGTAAGTCATGTAAATCAAATTGATCTTGTCCAGAGGTCAGTAAACCCTGCAGAGATGATGTCCGTGAGCAGATGATGTCCCGCCCTCCATCCTAGGTTCCCTGTGATCATCTCTAAATCCTCATCCTTCAGTGAAGACTGGCAGTTTATTGCCCACCTCAAGGGCCTGCCAGGCTGCTGTGGTTTGCTGCAGGACTTCAGGCCCTTCTCCTTATATCCACGTGTCTGAGTCATGAACAGGGTCACTGGTGAAGAGAAGATGAATTCATCTGAAGCAAATAAGAAATAAGGAATTAGTTTCTGTCATGCAGGGGGCAACATTCTTCAGATTGAAGACTCCTTACTTAAATTTATTTTAATCCTCTAAATTATAATATTCATGTTTATATTAAGCTCTGTAAGATAATGATCTTGTTCTGTGAATACCCCCTAGTGAGAGTTAGGGAACAGAATTTGCATAACATTTAAGAGG